AACGCTTAGGACGCATCCGTTCCTAACGCCGTCCCCTCCGGCTCAGCGCCAATCTGGCTGGCTTTCTGTCACGCCCTCCCAGAGGTGGTCGTGGACCCGCCGGTGGTGCTGAAGGAGAGGCTGCAGTGGAACGGCCAGGAGCTTCCAGAAACGGCAGGCCGTCTTCAAGGGCTGGGGAGCGCCAGCCGCCTGAGCAATAAATGAAGATGTCTTCTTAAAAGTGCTGATGTTTTCAACAAAGACTCGGAAACAAGTAAAAAAACACAGGCAAGCCGATAAGTGAAGAAAGCAAAGACAAGCTAACCTTTCATGTGCTCTCATGGAAAAGCTTTGTCTTCTCCTAAAATTGCAGTTTGGGTTGTTACCTACATCAACTGACATGTAAACTCCGAAGTTCTAGCCCTTTCATCGTGACACAAACAACCAAACCAACCTGTACCTTATTATTGCTTTTGAGTTGAATCTTGGGAAAATTCCAGATCACATCTTCTCTTTTAGGGTTGGTCATAAATCACCTGGCCTGTCACTGTTGTGAAAACTCCTGGGCAACTAAGACGACGGGGAGTTGGCGGTTCTGCAGCCCCAGAGCCTGCGACCTCAGCTTCTCATTTGCTAGAACAGTGGGCTGTGGCCTGCGCTCTGGGACCCTCTCCCTGAATTCCTGCTCGTTTCACAAAATCACGATTCACGCTGGATGCCCGGCACCCCCGATGAACGTGTCACAGGTACAATGTGTCCTGGCAGCCCTGTCCTCAGCCTTCACTGGTGCTTCCAATCCACGTAGATTCAATTCCAGTTATTAGCCTTCCTTCTAGTTTCATTGTAGAAAATGTAGGGAAAAAATGTTGGCATCTCTAGACTGAGAACTGTACTTTGAAACATAAACTTAAATGTTAACTGTGGAAACAGAAGCATCCGTTTGCTGGAACACGCTTAAAAGAAACTCGTGGGACCCGGGACTGCCGGCCGTCCTCCCGCTGCCACGTGAGGCCGCGTTCTCAGAAGCTCTGTCCCTGCTGTGTCGCGACGACACAGGCATGCCAGGTCGGGCAGAACGCGTGTAAACAGCTGCGAGATGGAAGCACACAGCAGGCTGGTCCCACTTAGGGGCAGAGCGGACGCTCAGAGCTGGAGATTCAAGGCCGAAGTCCCCATCTGACGCCCTGGGGCTCTGAGTCCAGCCGCGCTGGACTCAGCGCTGGCCTGTGACCGACACAGGGATTCTGAGGAGAGGGAGGCGGGTCCAGGCTGAGGCGGGCTCCTCCTCTACCTGAGGACGGGGGTCGGGCCCTCGGGCTAGGCAGATGACCAGGACTCCATCAGCTCCCAGCTCACGTCTACCACCGCGGCGCCCCGGGACCAGACAGGCCTGGAGCCCGCGGTTTGCAGCCTCGGGGCCTGGCTGGGTGGTGAAGAGTGAACTTGTTGCTTCTGCATCCCTGAGGGATACTAGGCGGCAACCACAGGCCCCCCTGCAGCAGCCACAGCACCCCTTTCCTTGGCTCAATCTGTCTGCAGAGCATCCTTGAAACTAGAAGACAGTTCACGAGCAAACGTGCTTATTGACTGACTGGGAGGGACGGGGGCCGGGCTGGTGCGGCTGGGCGGTGTCCCCTCGTGTCACAGGAGGGCGAGTTCCTGACCTCCAGATGTCTGCGTGTGCCTGTGTGCACGTGTGCGTGGGCCACGACATAGTCTGGACGCTGTTAACCTAGTTCGCGTGAAGAAAGGGACTCAGAGCCGCTGGTCCCGCTCGGTGCCCTCAGCCCGGGACGGCAGACGTCACACTCCTAGAGGCAAGGCCGCCTGGCCTGGACTCAGCCTCCGGCGGTGACAGTGTATTAGCGCCCCCTGGGGGTCGCATGTGCAAACACGAGCGGAGGCTGAGAAACGGATTCATAGCGCGGTGGAACCGGCGGAGGTCGGGCTCCGCCTGCGACCTGCCCAGAGAAGCCTCCTGGCCCTGTGGTCACCTGTCCGCGTCCTCCTACTGGGCACCTGGGGAGAGCCGAGGCTTCACAGCTCCCGGGGGCTCCAGGCGATTCTGACGTTGGATAAACCCCCTGTTACCACCAGCCCAGCAAGAGCAGTGCAGGGAGATCTAACACGAGTCGGATGCTTTGGTCCTTACAGCGATCTTATTAAATAAGTAAGGCAGACCCCTTCCCACCGGGCTCTTGTTTCCCAGGGAGTGACGCTGTACGCTTCTAAGCAAACCCCTGGGACCCTGGGAACTCCTCGCGCAGGAGATGGGACCTTACAAAGAGGAGCTACTCCCAGGGCACCTCCGCGGGGCTGAGACTCAGCACGGGAAGCACCCTCCCTGGACCCACGTCACACACACACGACTCCCGAGAAGTTTTTCATGAACACGTTAATCGTTACAATTATGTGCACTAGTGCGTGGAACTCCACAACAATATTCTGTGGCTCCTGTTCTGGAATCTAAGATAATTGTGTATTTTAATTTGCTGTGGAAAAGGGGTATTAAAACTCCCAGGACAGTGTGAAGACCCAGGGTGCGGATGTGACAGCTCTGCAAACACAAACCCATCCTGTCTGCAGCTGAACTTCCATCTCTGACCGCTTTCAGTGCCAGCTATTCTGCTCCAGATGGAGACTCCAGGGAATAAGCAGCGGACACTCTGCCTCTGTCACACACACACACACACACACACACACACACACACACCCCCCACTCGGCTGGAGAGACAGGTCGCCTGGTCACTAGCCCAACCTAAGCAGGCGACCAGCCACGAAAGGAAGTGAGGTGATGACTGAGGCTGGTTGCTAAGCTGCAGAAAAGGGAACAAAATCCCACAAATTTCTAGTAAATGTATTTCAAAATTTTAGACCTTTGAATTATATACCAGGTATGTTTTGAGAGATTCTTGGATAAACTTTTATACTGTCAAAATATAAAATGTCTGCATTTACAACTTTTTTCAACTTTGCAACTTTTACTATTAAATGCATGTAACTTTAACACTCAAGTCTGATTTCACATTAACTGAATTTACTATTTTGGTTTGATAACTATGACATCAGTAACAACCTGCAGAGCGCAATTTAAAGAGCAAAAAGCTTGTCTTGAGTAACTTCACGGTAACACCTTCTGTTTTCTGTGGTTTACACCACAATTCTCAGCAAGTGAACCCGTCAGGAAGAGACTGTGGCCCTGACACCCCTTCATGGACACCTGCTGAGACTGTAAGGATGCCGGCAGAAGGTGACAGCCAAGTGACACGCAGTTAGTGCAAAACAGTCACAAACACACTGTCATCTTTACAGTTTTGCTTATTTATTTCATGTAGGTGTTAGCTGATGTGTAAGTGTTTTGTGGTCTGTTTCATTTACTTACACAAACTTCCATCAGATGCCCAAACAACGTCACCGGGCATCCTTCTCTGGCTCCAAATCCACCCCCTTTTGCTAAAGCTCTGGGGTGAGAAGGGACCGCAGGAAACCAGGAATGGGGATATGCTTTCCTTCAACGGGCCAGGAGGCCCCCTGTGAACCTCTCCTGTCATGTCCCACACAGCAAGGCTCATACATCCCAAACCCTCTGGGGACAATTCTGGCTTGTAGGATTTCCCCAAGCAGGACAGAGAAATATCTGTTAACACTGAATTAGCCACTGAATGTGAACTTACTAAAAACAGTTAAAAAATAGTGTTTGTGAAAAAGAAACTGTTCCAAAAAAATTGCACACACCAGTGAACGAAAAGGCCCATGTAATGTCTTTAGGTTGATATGCCATTAACGCCAAATTTATGCGAAGTTAACAATGCTATTACACTACTATCACAGGAAAACTGAGATTCAGTCAGATAGTCCCATATTAAGACAGCCCAAATAATTATGGACAGGGAAAATGCCCCAGAACCTCCTTGGCTTGTGTGGCTGAGGCCAGGATGTTCCTATCCATGTATTCTGTCCCCTGGGCCCCGGCCTGACCGCACGGCTGGAAGGGACCAGCCATCCCGCCCTCAGCCCCTCCCACCATACCCGCGCTCCCAGGGCACCAGCCAGCTCGGCCCTGCTCTCCGAGGAAATCACTCAGGATGCAGTGGACTCTTCTGAAGCCATGAGACCATTAGACACCCTGAACTGGAAATTTCCAGAAATGCACAATGAGGCATGCTGTCAGGTACAAGAAATTTAAAATCTGACTTCACATGAGATGCTGTTTTTTAAGACGATTTTTTTTTTGTTTTTTTTTTGCGGTACGCGGGCCTCTCACTGTTGTGGCCTCTCCCATTGCAGAGCACAGGCTCCGGACGCGCAGGCTCAGCGGCCATGGCTCACGGGCCCAGCCGCTCCGCGGCATGTGGGATCCTCCCAGACCGGGACACAAATCCGTGTCTCCTGCATCGGCAGGCGGACTTTCAACCACTGCACCACCAGGGAAGCCCCTAAGCCAATTTTTAAAATGTTCAGTACAGAAGTTTAAGACATCAAGGAGGGACTGGAAAAAATTTCAGGTTAAGATCTCCAGTAGATTTATCTAGGAAGTTCTACCTACTCACTTCTACAACTAATGTCAAAATTCAGGAAATAATTTCTCTACTGAGAGTTTATAACTACGTATAAAACCTTTATATATCTGGATTTCAAGATTTAATTTCATAATCTGTCGAAGTGTCACCTTTTGAGTTTCTAAAGCTTTCATATGAACAAATTTTCTTTTCTTTTTGAAATCCGACGAATGTATTTCACTTATCTTGTTAAAATTATGGTAACTATTCACAAACTATTTTCTTAAACCCAAATCAGGAGCCAACAGCATCCTCTTTACTGAACGCTGTGTGTTTAGACAGGTGCTCTGCTCACCCGTCATCCTCCAGCTGCAGCTCCAGGTGTGACAAGACCACGAGCGTCCTGCACAGACGTTGGTTTACAGAGCGGACATCACAAAGAAATAGTGCACCTGCTCCAATAAACCAACAGCATCATGTCCCAGGACACCCAAAGGGTAAAAAGAAGGTAGAACACAGGAATACAATCAATCTTTGTATTTGCTATAAAAAAAATCTGTTAGTTGAAACAGGTGAATGTTGACTGTTTCTACTGGCAACTTTCCTTCCTAAAGACAACTCAAGGGGCTCATCCAGCCACTGCTTCTGTGGATTCCGACCCAGGGCCTCCGAGGGTCGTCACATCTCTAACTGGATGAAAGGAAAGGCAGCCCCTCGTGTTCTGTCCTGTGGCAGCACCACATGGAGAGGCCACCGCTATGCAGATCAGGCCAGGGTGACAGATGTGACAGGGGGTGATGGAGGTGACAGGGGTGATGGAGGTGATGGGGGTGACAGGGGTGATGGGGGTTGACAGGGGGTGATGGAGGTGACAGGGGGTGATGGAGGTGACAGGGGGTGATGGAGGTAACAGGGGTGATGGAGGTGACAGGAGGTGACGGGCGTGATAGGGGTGATGGAGGTGATGCGAGTTGATGGGGGTGACGGAGGTGCCCACACGTGCATGGCACTGTCCCTCACTCAGTCACCGTCCCCATGTGGACGGATGTCTGGTAGCTCACACGGTCACAGGAGTCCCGTGGACGTGTGGCGACGTGCGCAGTTCCGTTTGCTTACAACTTAACTGGAGAGACGGGACCCCCTGCAGGCCCGGCGAGTGCCCTGGTGGACGTGCGGCAAACTCTGTCCTAAAGGCTGGTCTAAGTGCAGTCCAGGAGCGCGCGAGGCCGGATCCGAGGCGTCACTCCTCCCGGGCCTGCCCCTGGCCCTCCTCCTCTGCTGCAGGGCCCTCAGGTCGGTCATCACGGTCAGGGCCTTGCGCACCCACAGGACCTGGAAAGAACCGTGCAGAGACGCGGTCAGAAGTGGACACGGGCCGTGTGAGGAGGACGGAGGCCCGAAGCTCCGGCACACACGTACCACGATGGCCAGGGCGTTCAGTAGCACGGGCGCTGAGAACACTATGGAGATGAACATGCCCCTCGAGTCAAAATACTGGTACTTCGAGAACAACCTGTTTCAAGAAAGATTTAAAGATCACGGAGTGTCACAACATGGCGTTCTCGTGATACTCTCTGTCTCAGGAGCCCCTCCGCACACGAGGACGAGGTGCGGGCAGAGCCCCGCCTGCACACGATGGCGACCTCAGTCCCTTTACGAGGCGACCCTCCTAACCCCGTGGGGGACGATTCCCAGACCCTCCAGGGGCACTGCGGCCCCCATGCAAGCTCAGGCCGAGCCCCTGGAGAGGGGGACACAGCGTGGCGGGGCCAGGCTGCCCCCAGCGTCCCTCTCAGTGGCAGTGCAGGACACGAACTTTACGTCACTGACTCAGCAACACCGTCATCACCCTGGGGCCACAGTGAACAGAGCCCAGCGAGGGGTGGTCAGGATGCGCGTCCTAATTAGAAGCGGAAGAGACAAAGCGGGGGGACGGGTCGTGCGGGGGGGCCGAGGGTGGGCTCCTGACCCAATGACAGGGGCCTGAAGCCGCCGGGAGGGCGCGGCGGCCGGGGCGTGGCTGTCACTCTGCTCTGAGACCTGTGCGGGCAGGGTGCCGAGGGCAGACCCGGGAGGCAGCGTGCTGATCGGGCCACGTCATCCCCCGGGTTGCGGGGACACAGGGACGGCGGCGCTCCCCTGCCGACTCGTTCCAGCCTCCCGAGGGTTCCTGCCTGACCTGCGAGGACCCCGTCCTGAGAAGCCAGAAGGAGAAGCTGTGGGCCCCGAGGGAGCAGAAGACCTGGGGCGGTTCTGGAAGGGGGGGCCAGGGGAAGGGTCGACTTTATGGGGCTCACTGGACATGGAGTGGGTTGCCCAGGTGTGTGAGCAGGAAAGGACACGCAGGCGAGGACAGAATGGCCAGTGTCCCGGAAACCAGGGACCAGTGTTTTCAGGACCAAGTAAATCGTGGGTGGATCTCGGTCTCCCCGTCACGGACAAGAGCGCTTCTGTTCGGGGGGCCTCCAGGGCCGACGGTGACCACCGTCCAAGGCTCATCGTGAAGGAGGCTGGGATGTGGACGGGGCTGGGGCTGCTTTGCAAGCGAGAGCTGGGGGCTTCCTGGGTGTGTTCTGCTGCTGACGGGGATGGTCTCACACAAGGTCCACGTGCCCGGGGCCGCTCACCTCCAGTTCACTGCCGCCACTTCATTGATGTACTCCGCGCAGTAGACTAAGGTCACTGAGAAGAGAGCAAGCCCACGTGAGAAGCCAGGGGACCAGTCCACCACCACAGCCTTATACGTCCTTCACAATATGCTACGTAACAGAGACGTAACAGAACAATGCCACGTTGGATGAGACGTAACTCCTACTTCACATACAACGTGAGGGAACATTACACAGAAAGGAAACCCGAGGTGACACACGAGTCCGGTGGTCTCGGTCAGACCAGGCCAGCCCTCAGCAGAGCGGCGCCACGGCCAGGCTTCCTGCCCCGACACCACAGTGGCCGCACTGGGCCATCTGCCGACCTCCCAGCCCCGCAGGTCACACATCGGGTGCAAGGCCGGCAGTGGAACCCGAGGGCCCTGAGACCAGAGCTGAAGGCCACCTGCCTACACCCTCTGGCTGCCTGGAGCCCCCAGTGGTGCTGGCGGCAAAGACATGGAGGGAGCACCGACCCGAGGGGACAGGAGCCCAGGACAGCCCCGTCAGCCCTCGCAGTCCCACCCGGAGTGCGGGGAGCCCCGCCCAGGGCAGAAGGACCGCAGGCTGGCCCAGCACCAGGAGCTGCTCAGGGCCTGGGTGGGGCTGGCGGAGGGGAGGACGGACGCCAGGAACCTCAGCCTTGTAAAAATGTGCAAAACCCCGGTTCCTGGGGTGAAAATGGGGGAGAGCAATCCTTGACCCCTCCCTCGACGACTGGACCCTGAGGCGCACATCAAGGAAGCCAAAGAAAAGAGACGGGAGAGGAGAAAAGAGGCCTGAGCACAGGAGGGGGGGCCCCTCCCCAGGGGGGCCCCTCCCCAGAGGGCAACGTGATGCATCCACCATGCACCCCACTCAGGAGCTGGGGAAGCAGTGAGCCAGTCTGTGCTTCATTTGTAAGACTGCAGCAAATAACATCCAAGTCTTCTGTGGGTGTGAGAATTAAATGGGCCATCAGATGTGTAAACGCACTTAGACCAGCATCTATCATCCCCACGCTACAACAGTCACCCTCTGTTCGTCCTTGAAAACAACAAACCCAAACGTAGCGCCCAGGTTCACAAAGCTTTTCAAGTATGGGCTCCTTGCACGAGGCTCTGTGGATGAGGCCACCACCTTTTTTGTGCTTCCTGCCTCGGGGCCTTTGCACACATTATTCCCGGGGCTTGCAGTGTCCCTTCCGGCCCTCGAACGCCTGCTGCCTGGCTGGTTCCCCCGCATCCTTCTCCCCTCGGTTTAAATGTCAGGGCAGTGACTCAAGTCCGGCCCCTCCCAGGGTTTCACGGTGCTCCCGCCTTTCCTGCCATGATGCTCAGCAGGGCTGTGGCTACTCAGTGGACGCCGGGGACCCCCCAGCTCTACGAGGCTCGGGAGCCCGTCTGTCCTGTTCGCCCCTCGCGGTCCTTACTAGGGCTCTCACGTAAAGAAATGAAGCGACAGCCATCCCTGACCGTCAGGACTGTTTCTGGTGCAGGCTTGCTGCTTCGCGCCTGTCCTAAGAAGACCTCTTGTTTGGATTTCCCACCTTGCACAAGGCCAACTGAAAAATCACATTTAAGGTGAGTTTTTGGACTTTGCTAAACTACCAAGCAAGATCTTCAGCATCTTGCCAACGTCCACAAGATGAAGAGCCCAGCATAGCCTGAGGCCCTGGCCCAGCTTTCCCGGCTGAACGTACTTCTAACTAGTCAGCATCAGAATGTGGTTTCTCTGACACCTGACCCACCCTTTCTGTCCGTCGCCCCTGTGCTCTCACCGGCTGCCTCCGCCCCAGATGCCAGGCCTGGGCCAGACATCTGCTCCTTACCCTAGAAAAAGAGATTTTACTCACCCTTTACACCCCCTACCGTGACTTTACCTTCTCTGTGAAATCTTTCTCAACGATTCCCCACAGCTCTGTGTCTTCTCTAAAACCCTGTAGATCTTACCTTCAAAACTGACTCGGGCAATGGGTTATTTTTGCACCACAGAGCTTTCCTTCCTGGTTTGCACTCCCTCCCAGAGCACGCAAGGCAGCTAAGCCCCCAGAGGAGCCTCTTGTACAGAGTCAGCATTTCAGCTAACCCAGCTCTCGTTTGTGTAACTGGTATTCAGCACCCTCCCAGGAACACAACACGTGCTTGAGACGCCTTTCAAATCCAATATCCAAAATGTACCTTATCTTTATAGTACCCACAAGTGAAATATGGGAGTGGCCAGCAATCAAAGTAGAACACAAGACAGGAGAGTTGGGAGGCCTTACAAATATATTCACATATCACTGAGGCTACAGAGAGAACAGGCACACGCGCCGCCACAGCGCACAGCGATTGAGCCGCAGAACCGTACTCACCCAGGCACAGGAAGTGCCCCACCTGTAGCTTGTACCTCCGGGATGAGAACCAGGTGAGCAGCAGGCAGAGCACGTGGAAGGCAGCCAGCCCCACGAGCCAGGGCTCCGTCCAGTCCGTCTGCTGGAGGACACACAGCAGAACCTCGTCAGGGCCCACCTGCACTGGACCAGGCTTCACACTGCCTCTCCTCTGAGCCCGTCCCGAGCGCCCGCCAAGCCTCACAGCACACAGGGAGGGGAGGGGGAGCAGGGACCCCCACTGCACCCACGTCCAGGGACTGTCACCCGGCCGTGCCCTGCTGTCCCTCCACACAGGACTGAAGGCTTTCCTACTCGTCGAACAGAACTGCACCTCAAGCTGGGAGAATGTAAAGACCCTCCTCCACGGGGAGATGAGAAAGCGGTGCCTGGTTCGGGGATGCACTCGGTCGCCCCCAGAGGCAAAGCTACCAGTTCCTCAGAGCAGTGATTAAAGCCTCAGAAATCTGGGCCACCCAAACTTGGAAGATGTGGTTTTCTCCCGCCTTTCTGACACACACCCTGCCCTCCAGACAGTGCTGCGACCGCACGTCCGTTCAACTCTAGAGGTGGGCTCGTCCGCACCCCTGAACTCGGACCCCCTCCTTGAGGCTCAGGTCCCCCGGGGGCACGGGTGCTGGGGGAGCGGCCCACGCCCTGCCACTCTGCCCACAGCGGGTCCACGCCACCCGGACCCCCCATCCCAGCCCAGGACGGCCCACCTCCCCGCTCCTCGCCGCCACGAGGTCCCAGCTCTCCCCGCAAACCCCCGACCCCCGACCGCCCTGCACCTCAGCATCCCACCAGCCTGAAGGCCCTCCAATCTCGTCCCGCCCCGACGCCCCGGCCCCACCGCCACGCCACGCCGCGCCCACCCAGGTACAGGCCCCGCCCCTGCACCCCCCACCCACGCCTCCCTTCCGGCGCCGCCGGCGTCCCCGGCGGAGGCTGGGAAATTTGGAGAGGCCCCAGCCGACAGCGACCGAACTGACGGCCAAGGAGGCAACGACTTACCGTGATCACGGCGGGGATGCTGACGGGGAACTTGCTGACTGAGAATGCAGACGGCATCGCCTCCGGAAAGGCCCTTCCTCACCACCACCTTTTCGTCTTCCCCGCCCCGCCCGGATAGGTCAAGAAGGCCTCTGGTGTCCTCTCGCGTTATCTCCACTTATCGCGATGCCTGCTGTATCCGGAAGCGGCAGGCAACCTGCCATCTCGCGATATCTCCAGTTCCCGGTACCAGGTTCAAATCTCGCGAGATTCCGTGGTGTTAAAATAAATATAAGGGAATTACGAGGAGCTTCCAGCGTTGTTTTTCCCCCCCGAGCTGCTGCGAGAGGGACGTTTTAGTTCTTCCTATGTGGCGGGCTCTCATAAATGGCAGCTCGGAGGACTGGGGGCTAGTGGGCGTCCCCGCCTTCTTCCCCCCGCAACTCCTAGGGCTGGGGGCGTGGGGGTATCGCTCAGGAGAGTGACCTGGACGCCTAGGAACATAGGGGAGAGTGACCTGGATCCCGGGGACAGAAAGGGACAGTGTCCTGGACTCGGGCGGGGGACAGAGAGGGAATTGACCTGGACACTGGGGAAAACGGGGGACAGTGACCTGGACTCCGGGAGACAGAAGGGGACAGTGACCTGGACCCCAGAGAGAGAGGGGCACAGTGCCCTGCACGGAGGGGGACAGCGACCTGGACGTCGGTGGATGGAGTGGGACAGAGGGGACAGTGCCCCTGCCCCTCTGAGAAATCAGGGTCTTCAGATGCTCACTCTACCGTCAGCTCCAGAAGTGGGTGCTGATTGCTCCTAGCTCACATGGACCTTAAAAACAAAACGGCCAGTAGTTTTACCAGCTAAATGGCTTTGTTCCGGAATAGAAAGGAATTGCAGCTTGGGACATATAATCTATGGCAAAACCACAGGCAAGTTGGGCAAACAAAGGACAGGAGCGTGTCATTTTATAAAGAAAAAGGGGGAAGTGGAAAGAGCTGCTTTGAAGGAAAGTCCATTGGAGGAAAGGGAGAGTGAAGGGTGCTGAGGGGTTCCTATTGGCTGGGCAGTGGTGGTTTCTCATTGGATGAGTGGTAACAGTCTCTCATTGGCTGGGCTGTTGCCAGGTGGGGAGAAAATCTTCCCTCCCCTGCCGGTCTTAAGTAGGGACATTCCTTCTGTTGGGTCTGCGGAGGGCCGGAGTGGTACCTGCCTGAGCGTATCCCCTTCTGCTTCCCGTTTCCATCTTAAATGAGGTTCCCTTTATTTTCACACCAATCAGGGAATCCTGAATTCTCTGTTGATTCAAGACACAGAATTAATGGAATCAATACTTGGCATCCTGCCCTGTGTCTGCAGACTAACAGGGAAGCCCCTGGCTCGCAGGCACTCAGTCAGGTGAAGAGACGGACCCCGTTCTCTGGGTGGACCTGGGGGAGGGTGTGAGGAAAAGGACTGCAGCCTGTCGCCACCTTGAGGGTACCTGGCACCTGCAGAGCGGCGGGGGGGAGGGAGAAAGTGAGCTCTTGGCAGGTGGCCTCCCTGACTGGGGGAATCAAGCCAGGATTGAACCCAAACATGTGAGCCAGGCTGCACCAGGGTTTCTCTTCCTTGCTGCCTGAGGAGCTTTCCAGAAACTCCATACTTGGCAGCTCCGGCTTCCAGTGTGGGGAGGTCTCTATGGCGGCCGCCACCCATCGCGCCCCCGCCACCCATCGCGCCCCCGCCCTGCCCATCCCTCGCTGGATAAGACGGCTCTGTCCTCCTGGCCTCACTCTCCCACAGTCCAGTCTTTATACCGCAGACACAGCCAGCTTTAAAAACATAAATTAGGTAAAGTTGTTTGCAACAAATGCATTTTCATATATTCATAGTTGTTGAATTGAGAGGTTTTAATTTATACCATTTAATTTTAGGTGGAGAAATACTTTTCTTCTGAGAATTATGGAATAGCCAAATCTGTTATTTATGACTCTTTTTTTCACAGATTGCCTTTACAAAATTATAGTCATTTAGAAATGTGCTTGTGAAAAGTCCATAATTATGGATAATAAAAGCTTTATAGATAAAATACAACAAATTAATATCTCATCTTCAATTTATATTTTCACTATTCTGTTAGTGTCTCCTGACCTCAGGGCTCTTGGAGGAGTTTGTAACTACATGGATTACAGGGCACATCGCCATGTGCTGTTTCCATTGATTTATGTTTCTGTCTCAGACATAGGAGACGATGTGTTTATTGACCTTTGTCAAACTCACAACATTTTGTGCATTGCCTGGACATACTGAGAATTTTTTAAATGGAAGTTGAGGGTTTAAATCATGTGTCGCAATTGTACCTTCATGTGTCACAATTGGGGCTGCCAGGCTGGGGACTCCTCGGGCCGGCTGTGGACTCAGGTCAGCCGTGGGCTCCTAGGTGGGGCAAGCAGGTGTTTCGACTGTGATGGTTTGCAGACCTGGGCTCAGCCAGGTGGGCTTTGGCCTTTGCATGTGTCACTGATGTGGGTCTACAAAGGCAGGGACTGGAGTAGATGCCATCAGATCAGAGACACCCAACAAGGGCTCGATTTTATACAAGTCTTAGAGTCATTGTAACCAGAAAACCGTTTGCTTTGGCCTTTGCAAGGCGGCTCCAGCTGTAAAGGGGGGTTTCTGGCCCAGCAAATCGTGCCCTCCACCATTTTGCAGGAAGGGCCAAGGGGTGAAGCCGGGAAGCCCTGGACCGTCCAGCAGTATACGAGTCACACCTCACACCCCAGGGTGCCTCCAGACTGAACCTGGACGTGGGGCGTCTCCGGGGCCCAACCTGCTGCATAGCCAGCACTGTGTTCTTTCCTGTGGCTGCACTGACGGAACACCCGACAGGGGGCTTAAAACAGCAGGAGACAGCCCCTCTCAGTCTGGAGGCCGGAGGTCCAAAGCCCCAGGGGCAGCAGGGCCAAACTCCCTCAAGGTGGGGGGCAAGGTTCCTGCTGCCTTTTCCAGCTTCCCACGGAGGGTGGCAAGCCCTACATTCCACTGTCACATGTGCCTCCACCTTCTCTTCTCATCAGGGCACCGGTCACTGAGTCAGGGTCCACCCTCCTCCAGTAGAGCCTGATCCTAGCTTGATCACATCTGCAAAGACCCTGTTTCCAATAGGCTCCCATTCACGGGGACTAGAGCTTGAACATATCTTTGGGGGACGCAGTTAACCCACAACCTGTGTAACAGATAGCTCTGCCATACCCAAGGGTGCCTGCTCCGGAAATGGACACAGCAAGTGGGAAGAAGGGGTTCTGAACACAGTGGATGGGAAAAAAAGAAGGAAAGCTCAGTAGGAGCTCAGGTATGTAGGTTTCAATTGCCACTACCTTAGGGAGGAAGTAATGTATGTCCTCCCTTCCCCGAGGATATAATACCTGTGTTACGGAACTCAGGTCCAGCTGCTTGCTGCTCAAAACTCAGTATTCAAAAGGTAAGTTTTGGTGGAAATGGGAAACGTTGCTTTTAATCAGAAAGCCAGCAATCTGGGGAGAAGGTGGACTGGGTATCCCCAAAACCAACCCCGAAGATTCTGCCCGGCCATGCAAGCTTTTAAAGGGAGAGAGGGGACGTAATCTCAGTTAAATCGTGGAGGTAGGAGATCAGACTCATCGCAATCCCCCACTGTGTGCAGGCTGTCGACTCCGTGGCTCTTTCTTTAGTTGCTGTCTTGTTCACAGTTTGTTCACAAGATTCCTGAAAGGGGAAGCTGGGGAAAAGATCTGGTCATCTGTTAATTACTTATTCTTCATCTTTACTTCCTTGATCTACGGAAGGAAACAACAGATTAGGCAAGGCTTTGTGTGACCAAGAGATTTGAAAGGTGTGCTTGGGTCGGAGACAAGCAGAGCATGGGGGTGACTGGTTTAAGTTTAGTGACAAGACAGAAGGGGCCTCCTGCAGAGAGCTCGTTCCTGCCGAAAGCTGCTGACACCTGCATCATCTCAAAACTGACCTCCTTCTGGGACCTCTTAATTGACTTCAGTCCTGCTTCACAGGCCACAGCCTTCCTCATCTGAAAGAGGTTGACATGATGGGGGTATAGTTGACCGTTACCAGAAGCAGAAACCTCTATGTTGACCTATTACTTAAATGCTCCTAAACCATTGATGGGATGGATGTTATGGATTCACTTTGCAGTGAGGAAACTGAGACTCAGGGAAGTAAATACACTGCCTAGCGTGACAGCCAGGGAGACAGTCCGGATCTGGGGGAGACTCAGCTGATTCCAGAGGCTATTACTCTTCCGTGGCACAGACTCTGCCAGATGCCTTCCCCATCGGCCTCCTCCTAAATGGTCCCCTCTAATTAGAAAACACTTCTTTGCATAGGAGACAGCTCTTCCCCAGAGTAGTGAACCGTTGGTTTAATGCCTGATTCTCTTTGCAAGTACAGCCTTGTCTCAGAATGCAACTCTCCAACAATTCTGCAGACCAACGACCTGCCTTTCTTGAGCTGACGTTCGAGTCTTAGGTCAGGTTCAGCTCTTCTCTAAGGCAAAGCTGGAGTTGTGGGATGAGGGCCAGAAATGCTGTGACTGTTAAACCATCTGTCCAGGTGAGGATTTGGTTAGAAGACAGAGCTGTTTGAGAATGAGTCTGCCATCCTGCAGTGACTGCTCTCAACTCTGATGTTGGATGTTTATACTCAGTATTTACTACCCTGACCTGTCAGGGAGACGGGCTGGAGAAATCAGCGACTTCAAAGGCAGTTTTTCTCCTCGCTAATGATGGCTTCTTACACTAGGGCATAAAGAGCAGGGTTCTCGGCTTCCTGCCAACGCCGGCTCCAGGGCAGTGTCGCTGGAGAAGGGCCGAGTTAGAGTAGCTGACTGTGTCTAACGCAGGGCAAGTCGGATGCCTTAGCAGCCGCTGTCCACTGCTCCTGTTCCTATGACAACCCGCCCCGGGAAGTGACCGGGTCAGCTCTCTGGGCTCCTGTCCCCTCAGGGAGCTCGCTGCCTTCACAGCAGCCACCGGTGAGTCCCTCTAAGAGTCCAGAGCCAGTGGAGAAGGCGTTGTGGGTGTCGACTGAAAAATAATGCACAACCTAAAAGTTGAGAATGATGTTTATTTGGCGGACAAAACTGAGGACTTAAGCCCAGGACGCAGCCTGTCAG